AAATGCATTTTTCATTCGCCCATTATCTATTCTCACTCCTGTTAAATCAAGTTTATCAGTTTACTCTGTTTATCAGTTAAGTTTTTAGAAAAAGCAAAACATTTAAATACCTTATGTTTTGATAAACATATTCCCCTCGATAGGCAATTGTTTTTTCGTTTATAAATACAATTTTTTTGTTATTTTTTTGTTTAGAATTTCTTTTTTGTATAACACTGCTCTATATAAATCTTTTATAAATCTTCCCATATCTATTCCATAATTATATTTCTAATTCTAATTTACTTTTTTGCATTCTTTTTTAAGAGTCATATTTTATTTCAAAATTTTGAAAACCACTGCTTTTAAAGGCATCTTTATAAATATGTTTGAAGTATATATTATGATACAGTTGATCTTTAGTTAATCTTTGATCTTTTATTAAGCTAATCTGTAGTGAGTATAACTGTATATTAGGTTTGCCATTGGTAACCCTACTGTATATTAGCTATAATTTATTAAGTTTATCTGTAGTGAGTTCAACTATATATTAGTTATAATTTATTATTTTAGAATTTTAATTCAGTTTTTATTCAATTTTTGAGCAACTTTTAATTTTTATGCTATTTTTTTAGTTTTAACTTCAAATTAGAAAGCCTTATTATTAGATATATAATTCACTTTCAACTTAGTATTAATTATTATTAAAGTTTAAAGTGTAAAAAAAATAATTTTTAATTCCAGCCAGAAGCGAATTAATTTAATTATAACTAATATATAGTTGAACTCACTACAGATAAACTTAATAAATTATAGCTAATATACAGTAGGGTTACCAATGGCAAACCTAATATACAGTTATACTCACTACAGATTAGCTTAATAAAAGATCAAAGATTAACTAAAGATCAACTGTATCATAATATATACTTCAAACATATTTATAAAGATGCCTTTAAAAGCAGTGGTTTTCAAAATTTTGAAATAAAATATGACTCTTAAAAAAGAATGCAAAAAAGATTGATCTAAAAGACATAAAAATTCTGGCTGGAATTCCGGTACATCTCTATTTATATGTAATAATAGTCTGTTAAACTTAAAGCTTATATAAAGATAGTTAGAAACTAAATTTTAAACATTTAGAGATATATAACATATATACAAAAAGTCTGAATTTTATTGTAATTTGATAAATGCTATTGTAACTTATTATATGTTATATATTAGTATTCTGCTTTATATTTACTTTTTATTTTATACTTTTATGTTATATCTAATTGTTATACTTTTTAAATCATTTATTTAAACCTGTAAATAGACTTTTACAAGTTAATCATTTAAAATGTTTACATTTAAAAAAGAATTTTTTTAAGTTTGAATAAGAAAAAATGTATTTTATTTGTATTATTTATATATTATGTATATTATTTATAACATTATAGCTTCCAATAGAAGGATATGGAAAAAATAATCAAGAATTTGAAAAATCTACAAATCTTGTGCGTGCAAGTTTGGTTAAGCTTGCAAAAAACAAATTTCAAGTTATCACTATCACATTGGCCAGTTATATAACAGATCTGAATACTCTGGTAATATTAAATAAAGCTTTGTATATGTATATATGTTTATATATATATATATATATATATATATATATATATATATATATATATATATATATATATATATATATATATATATATATATATATATATATATATATATATATATAAATTTGGCTGGGCCACTGGAAATTTTGTTTTGATGCAATGAAGTCACCCGAATTTTTACATCTAAAGTTAAATTTTTTATTTTGCATTATAAAGGAGACGACTATTTTTAGTTATGGGGAAGTGGGGGCATAACCGCATATTGAGGCACAACTGTTTTTTAACATTTCCCTTTGAAAAATGTTATCTATTATGGCAAAAAACATACTAGGCGTTGGTAAAACAGTTTGCTTCATTTTGCTTATGTCAAAAGGAGTGCCTGTTGTGTTTCTGAGAAGTTGTGCATAATAATTTTTATTTTGATAAAAATATTATATTTACATTTTTTTATAGACCTTTCTTTTGAGGATTAAGCAATATTTGATTTTAGTGTTAAAGTTATATGTTATCAGCGTTGTTTCATCAAGTGAAAACCATTTTTGATATAAACATAACCTAATAAGCAAGCTATAAAACTATATTCTTTCTAAAAACTGTCCTCTGGGGCAGAACCACATAGGCGCACAAGAGGCACAACTGCATACTTTTGATATTTATCAAAGTTAGGCAATTACAAATGACAATAATTACAATCGTCACACTTAAATGCGTTCATTTAAAAACTTGAATAGAAATAGTTTTGTTTGAGATAATGGAAATTAGATTTTGTATTTTTTAATTTAATTTGTGTAAACAAGTTTTTGATAAAATATAAAGCTAAGAGTATAAATCGATATCTTGTTATATTTATGTATATCGGGTATATATTTTTTAATATAACGTAAAATTGCCTAAGTTCGGTCACCTAAGCTTTGAACATTTATTTATCACGCATAAATATAAAATTTTTTATTTTTTTTTCCTGAAACATACAGAAAACTTTATTGATAATTGATATTGTAAAAATAAAAAAATTAAAAATAAAAACTAGTACTCAATATTTAATTTAAAATGAAAACATCTACTTTGACTGAACTTTCAATACCATCTCATAAGTGCAGCCACTATATAAATACTAATATTTTATCACAAATCTAACGTCACAAATAATAAAAACTTTTTTTTAAATATTTTTTTATTGTAATATTATGACATAAATTCAGGTAATGCCAGTAACTAAGGAGGGCGTTGGCCCGGGCTCAAAAAAAAAAGTCTTTTAGGGCACCGAATAAAACAAGAAGGAGCATATAAAAAAAGTATAAATTTTAAATATAAGTAGTAGTATTTTAAATTTTTATTGTAATTAGTCAACTATTTTATTACTTTGGACATAATCCCATTTGCTACGCCACCGGTTAATACAATTAAAAATATTTTTTTCAGTTAATTTAAAAAGATTTTTTCAATTAACAAAAAAACACTTCTTTGCTTTAAATGAGCTTTGTATATTTACTGGCAATTCTTGCACGTATTGTTGACCATAGCAGAACAGCAAGATCTACACAAACAATCGTTACAGGGTTCGCATCGCATCCATAATTTTCGTTGAGCATTAATTTTATCTCCAGTTTTACGATATATATATATATATATATATATATATATATATATATATATATATATATATATATATATATATATATATATATATGAATCAGTGAAAAGAATAACAGTACTAGTCCAATATTTTCATTTTGAGATAATCAATGTTTAAGTTTTGAACAGTTACAGTTTATAAACTATCTATCAATCTACTTTATGGCAAAAGTAATGAAAGATTAACTAGTATTATCTTTGTAGTATATAGAGAGATTGACAAATAAAATTATGAAAAAAAATCAAATAGAAAATGGACTAGTACTGTTCTTCTTTTCACCAATTCATATATATATTAGGGTGCGTCATTTTTCAACAATTTTTTCAAACTAAATCCCAACCACCTAGGTTAGTTGACTGGTTGGATAAAAATGATTTATGCTTAAAAAATATTTTTGAAGCCCATTTTTAAGGTTCCCACTTTTACAATTTGTGTTCCGAAACCCCAACTTTTTCACCCAAAAAGCAGGGACCTTAAACATTGAAATAAAACACCAATTTTTTTTCTATGAACTCTAAAAGGCCTAAATATTAATTTGGAGTTGATTGGAAAGTTAAGTTTTCAAAAAAGTGCATCGGTTTGACCTTGGAAAAATGGGCGAAAAGTTCTAATTTTAGGTAATTTTATGGATATGGATTATGGATCAATTTTTTTTATCTCTCAAACTTTCCATGACAATTTTTATCAAATTTTTGTTTACAAAGATTAATTTAATGCAAAATTCAATTTTGAAATTAATTTCTAATATAGGGACTTCCTATAGAAGGGTTAGCGGTGGGTGGTGGAGGGTTCGTTTCTTTCACCTTCCCTATCCATTTTACTTTTTTTTTTTTTACAGAATATTTATGTACCATCTGTCTTGAAGTTTTATTTTTACATAAATTTCGATTAGTTTTTTATTTAGAATACAAAATATGCATTTTATTGAAACAATTTTGCTCAATATCAAATAGAAGGGGTAGTTAAGGTAAAAAAATAAACTTTCTGCTGAGAAAAATATGTAACAACATTGTTAAGGACAACAGTAATAAATGAGTAAATGATCAAGAAAAAATTTTCTTCAAAAACAGTTTGTAAAACTATAACTCAGCAAACTTTTCTTCATGTTTTCGGTAAAAAATCTAATAAATATTCTCCAAATTATGCAAAAGTTCAATGAAAGTTTTAAATTGGTTGATAAAACCCCAAAAAGATAAAGGACAGTTCAGCCAAGGTTTATCATCATTTCCTCAAATTTAACAGACTGAAAATAAACTACTAGTTTCTACCAACCAACTGTGACAAGCTAGGTGGTTTTTCCTGGGTTAAGTCTAGATCTTTCATTGGATTTTCAGACTTATTGTAGAGTGTAGGAATAGGTTGTGAGATTGCGCAACTTTTTCTTTCTCATTATCTTCGAGTTCTTTATCTACAAAACATAATAATATATATATATATATATATATATATATATATATATATATATATATATATATATATATTAGGGTGGTATTTGTATAAATTTTTTTTAGAGTCATAGAATTAAAAGTAAGACTTTATATATACAAAATAAGTCACAATCAGTTGTTCTGATTATCAAATTTTATTTTATAATTTTAACCTGTTAAAAAAGTTATTATGTTTGTACAATTTGAAGCAAAAAAGCTATTATCACATGAATACACCTATTTTCATTAGGTAAGCCCACAATATAGTTCAAAACTAGTTTTATTTTTGGAAATGGTTTTGCCATTTCCAAAAATAAGTCATTACAACTAAATAGTTTTTTAATTTTCACATCTTTTATAATTTAGAATATTTCTTTTGGAGAGCAACAGCAGCTTCTAACAGAATCTAACATGATTATACTGGATACCATAAAGCAGTGTTTTGAAATGGTAGTAATTTATACATATTTTAAATATTTTAGTATATTTTTAAACTAGTAAAATATAGCAACTTGGATTAGGTTCTCTTTCTCTGTCCTGATTTATTCTTTTACTTGTTAGTAAAAAACTTCAAACAATAAAGTTGAAAGATAATTTAATTATTTAGAATGTAGATGAAAGTTCATTGTTACCTGATGATGTTGTAAAGAAGCATCTTCTTTCGAATTTATGTCCAGTAAGTCTTTACATATCTATATATTTTTATCTTTAAATATTTCTGGGTTATTGTTTCTTTTAATACTTTTTTGTGAAAATAATAGAAATTTTTAAAATTATTATTATTCACGAATCCATGTAACCCATTGAAACCTTGGTAAACCTGATTTGCATAAAACCTATGTAAATCTAATTCACATGTATTTCACATATTTTACACATATTACTCATTTTTTTATGAATATATGTAATTAGCTCAGTTCAACTCATCAAATCACTTTCTATAAGTATTGTATTAACCCCAATTCACTTATTATATATGCTGCTTGAACCTTAATAGGGTACCGTTTTGCTTTCGTCACGCTAATATTGAATAAATTAAAACTAAGGATTCTGGGATTAAAATGCGGACAAAACACTCAAAAGTGTATAACAACAATACAAATTATTCAGTTTTTAATACAAACTCACAATAACTTTATAAATTCTTGTTTAGTGTTTGTGAATTTTTAAAAGCTGGTTACAGTAAATGTTTTCATTTTGATCAGTTATATTAAGTTTGACATTTTATGCCTAATTACTCCAATTTTTTTATTTTTATTTGAAGATTAGAACTTGAATTAATCATAAAAAAAGTTTTCTTTGGCAATAAGTGAAATTTATTAAACAAATTAATTTAATGAATCTTAATACGTCCAGGGTGGGTACATTTTGCAAAAGTTAACAAACTACCCCTCCTTCGTATTAAGCACCTAAGAGTAAACGCTTAAAAAAAAGAATTTGACAAGGTTAGAAAAATATTAACCAGCTCTCTAAACATGGAATGTTAAGATGATATTTTTAAAATAAAAATGTTTAAAGTATATTTAATTAATATGTATATAAATTTATTTTTATAAAGTTGTGACTAAATAAAATTAATACATAGTTTTAATCCATAATTTTTAAGAAAGCTTAAATTTTAACTCTAAAAAGTTTGTTCAAAATGGTTTTTGATCTTTTTAAATGTACTTTTTTTTGTATTAGTAAATTATTAAAATTGTATTGTATTATTTAAGGATTACACAAAGGAATCTTTATACTCATATTGAAAAAATTGCAGTTAGCAAAAAAAAAAAATAAATAAATAAATAAATACACAGCTAAATTTGTAAAAGTTTTCCAATTATGAAGTAACATAAACTGATTAAGATGCTAGTGCCAATAAAGCATTAATCCATCAAATAATCCAAAAATTTAATTGAATCATTTTTTTAAATATGAATCTAAATACATATGTTCATTGAATCATTCAAAATAAACTTGTGCTTTTTATAATTCTTTTTGATTGCCTTAATGACCTTTTGATTGCCTTGATGACCTTTTGTAAATTTTTCACACATTTAAAAACAGTACAATATAAATAGTTGCTTGTTTCTGTAAAAGCAAATCTTGAATTATATATTCTAATTTTACAGAGAAGAAAATATTCTTGAAATTAATATACTCCATAATTCCACATTTCTGAAATATAGCCTCGCCACTAGTGCTACACTGATATAAAATTTGATACATGCTTATGCTTGTATATAAGCATAATTGAGATTCATTAAAGCGATAAAATCATTTTGATTTTCCTATAGTATAATAATATAATAATATAATAAAGGACTAAATGATACAGAAAATCAACATTAAAGTCATTTCCAGTATTAATATCATCAATGCTGCATTCTGTATTTATATCAGTGCAAGTGAAGAGAATTTCTTTGTTATAATGATTATACATATGATTATACATATTATCTATGTTAATATTATTTTCATTTTTTACAAAAAGAAAATCTACATGTAAACTTTTTGTTTAAATATATAATTTCGAAAGCTTTATTTTTCTTTTATTTTTTTTTTCAAGTTTGTCATCGAGTCTTTAATTATTCCTAATTTTTTTAAGTTACACTAGCTGACAACGTTCAAGGAATGTGTTGAGAATAAATCCTAATCACATTGTTTTATTGCACTTTTATACACATTTTCTTCAGAATTGATATAAGGTTTCTTTTGTTGAGAAGTAATGAAAAATTTTATACACATTTTCTTCAGAATTGATATAAAGTTTCTTTTGTTGAGAAACAATGAAAAATTTTATACACGTTTTCTTCAGAATTGATATAAGGTTTCTTTTGTTGAGAAGCAATGTAAAATTTTACATCAGGGTGAAATTTGATGCATTTCAAGAAGCAATTTTTCTCTAGTATGGAAAAATTCTTGTAAACATCAAAGGGAAATAATTTGACTGAGTTGTTACTCTTTTTAGAAAAACCTTTAAATGTCTACAAGGAAAGGTTCTTGAAAGTTGACAAAGAAAGAAAGTCAAAAAAATCAGGAACAGCTAACTCACAAACACAAAATTGCATAAACAATTTACATTGATAGAATATTTAACAATACATTGTAAGTAGAAAAAGTTCTTGTGATTAACAACAAGAGAAAGTTACAGAACTTAAAAAATATCAAGTTTAGGAGATAGCAAAAGTTACCAAGTTTTAAAAGCAGTGGGGAGGAAAAAATATTGACAACTTTTAATATTGTTTAAACTTAGGCATTTTTGTATATAATTAAACTGGTTTTAAACTTTCTAAAGATAATAGCATTCTACAAAAGCATGTAACAAAAAATATTTTTATATATAGTACAAAAGCATGTAACAAAAAATATTTAAAAATCTTGATAAAGCGTGTACACGAAATAAATGTGAAAGAATAAGTACGTCGTTTTTTTTCAGTGGTTTTATTAAAATTTTTTAAATTGTTTTGTATTTTGTTTTCCACGCGTTGTGGTTTTGAAAAAATATTTTAGTTTTTTGGTTTAGCTTAAAATTGGTTTTAAAGATGACGAAAGAAGAAGACATAAAAGAAAAAATTATGCACAATTATTTAGAAAATTCCAATAGTAGCTACAATTCGATAGCAAAAGCGTTGCAAATACATCCATACACAGTTAGTTGTGTAATCCAACATTTTTCTCAAACAAAATCGATCAAATGTATATCTGGTGGTGGAAGAAAAAAGGGTTTTAAAGATAAAAAGCTAGTTAGAAAACTGGTTAACAGTTTTAAGACTTATCCAAGCCTTTTACTAAGGGAGCGCGCAAACATTTATGGACTTTATAGTTTTGTTGTAAAAGTTTGAAATAAACATTGTTTTCATTTTTTCAAAGCACAAAAAGTGCCCAATCGATCTGAAACTCAACAAAAAAAAGCAAAAACCCACTGCAGAAAGTTGTATGACAATTTTATTTCTAAAAATTTCTGTATTATTAAAGACGATCAAACTTATATCAAGTACAATCATCAGCAAATTCCTGGTGCCGTAGAGTAAAAGCAGATAAGAAATTTCAATAATAAAACATGACAAGTTTGCTGAAAAAGTCTTGATTTGGCAAGCTATTTGCAGTTGTGGCAAAAAATCAGCACCTTATATTTCTCAGTCCACACTTTCGGGTCAAATATTTGTAAAAGAGTGTTTACAAAAACATCTTTTACCTCTCATTAAATCACACTGTAAGAGACCTGTGTTCTGGCCAGATTTAGCTTCAATTCATTATTGTAAACTAGCTTTGGAATGGTATAAAAATAATAATGTGAAATTTGTGCCTAAACAGAAAATCTCCCAAACTGCCCAGAATTAATAGTTATTGAAAATTATTAAAAGTTTATTATTAAATTAGAAAAATAAAAAAAACAAAAACTTTGCAGAAATATTAAAGATATTAAAATATCATTTAAAAAAGCACAAATGGCTTATTCTTATTCTGTGCACAAGCTTATGGGTGCCACTAAAGCAAAAGCTTGAAATTTTATTAGATTCCGACAGGAATAATTTGATTTTTTTTTATACTTGATCTTCTTATATTATTGTATTAATGTTATTACTTGGTTGGAAATAAAAATTGAAGACTACTAATTTTTAGTTATTTTTCTACTTTCATATTTATTTTCTGTACACGCTTTAAACCTTGCATAAATGAACAAATGAATGAGCCCCTTATAAATATTGTAATTTTCAAATTTTTTTATTACATCTAGTCTTGAGGATTTAAATTAAAAAATGAAAATTAAAAATTTATTTATTTTTAAATGCATCATTTTATAGAAAAACTTATTAAAGAAACTAACTACATTGCTATTTAATATTCTGTTAAATGATATTTTGCGATATTTATATTGAAACTTTAAGTATTTAAATCATTAAAACTCTATATGATGAATGAGGCTTAAATTTGTTTGCTATAAGTTGCACCATAGATCTCTAGGGCTCATTATTGGAATATATTATGAACAATAAAATATTTGGATCTTATAAACTTTGATTTCCTATCAAAATTAAGTTTGATGTTTTATTAATGAAGTGTTTTTTTATTATTGGTTGTGCTTTTAAAATGAACAAAATCTAGCAATAATTAAGATTAGTTTTTTATAAATATTTCTTTGTCTAATTTTATCGAAAAAGTTTCTTTGAAAATTTCTGGTTAAAATTTTTTTTAATTTTTATATATTAATTCATTAATTGTCTTCATTTTGTTTAGTTGATAACTCAAAGTGGAACTCAGTTAGGTTATTCTTCAAAAGAGATGCAGTTATTAGCAGGGAAAATTGTCTACTTAATAAGTAAACATCACTTTAGCTCTGTATTTGAAAGAATTACCAAAAGGTATTTTCATTTTATGAAAAAAACTACATTTTTGATGAATCATTTGTAAAAAAATAAAAAATAGAATTAAAATTGAATAAACTTGTTTGAAAAAATTAAAATTTTATATAAAGTTTATAAGATTGTAAATAATATAAACATTATAAATGTATATATGTATATATATATATATATATATACATATATACATATATATATATATATATATATATATATATATATATATATATATATGTATATATATATACATATATATATATATATATATACACATATATATATATATATATATATATATTTATATATATATATATGTATATATATACATATATATATATATACATATATGTATATATATATATATATGTATATATATACATATATGTATATATATACATATATGTATACATATATATATATATATATATATATATATATATATATATATATATATATATATATGTATGTATATATATATATATATATATATATATATATATATATATATATATATATATATATATATATATATATATATATATATATATATGTATATACTAGGTTGGTTGAAATGTTCGCGGAGCGGCACCTATGTTGCAGTAGTAGAAACAAATTTATAACTGTATTAAACGTATTCATTCTTCGTATGAACGCATAAAAAATTTCAAGTCGATATGTCATTTCAGTCTTTGTTTACAAGCTATTGAAATTAGACGTGTCATAGTATTTTTTAAAATGGAAAATATTGAACATCGTGCTGTAATATAATTCTTTGTGAAAAAAGGTTTAAAGCCCATGGAAATTCATAATGAAATGGTAAATGTGTTGGGTGATGATGCTCCTTCAAAAACAACAGTATGCAAATGGGCTGCGGAGTTTCAACGTGGGCGTTCAAGCCTTGAAGATGACCCTCGCTCTGGACGTCCAAAAAGTGCTACTACTGAAGAAACGATTAATGCTGTGCATGACATGGTTATGGATGATAGACGATTGACCAAACGTGAAATTGCTGAGGCTGTGGGCATCTCAGATGAACGGGTATTACACATCTTGCACGATGAATTACGTCTGAGAAAGCTGTTGGCAAGATGGGTGCCGCATTCGCTAACTCTGGATCAGAAACGCACTCGAGTAAAACTTTCTCAAGAACATTTGGCCCGTTTTCAAAAGAATAAAACAGATTTTGTGCGTCGATTCGTAACCATGGATGAGACTTGGGTTTACCACTATGATCCGAAGCTGCGACAACAAACTGCAGAGTGGACAGAACCCGGTTGTTCAGCTCCGAAGCAAGTGAAGGCGTCAAAATCGTCAAAGAAGGTTATGGCATCAGTTTTTTGGGATGCGAAAGGAATTTTATAAATAGATTACCTTCAAACCGGTAAAACGATAACAGGTGAATATTATAAAAATCTTTTGGACCAGTTGGATAAAAAAATTCGTGAGAAAAGACCTGGTTTGCTGCATAAAAAAATCATTTATCACCAGGACAACGCACCTGCTCATATCAGCGATGTTGCAAAGGCGAAATTGGTCGAATTAAAGTACGAACGCTTGGAACATCCACCCTATTCACCAGATCTGGCTCCGTCCGACTTCCACCTCTTTCCACATCTCAAAAAATTTCTACGTGGAAAGCGTTTCTCATCACCTGAAGAAGTCATTGCAGCCGTAAATGGGTATTTTGAAGGCCTTCCGGAATGCACTTCAGAGATGGGATACATGAATTGGAGAATCGTTGGAAAAAGTGTATTGCTCTTAAGGGAGAATATACTGAAGAATAAAGTCATTTTTTGAATCATAAAATTGTTTTTTCATTTCCGCTCCGCGAACTTTTCAACCAACCTAGTATATATATACATATATATATATATGTATATATATATATATATATATATATATATATATATATATATATATATGTGTGTGTATATATGTATATATATATATATGTATATATATATATATATATATGTATATATATATATATATATATATATATATATATATACATATATATATATATATATACATATATATATATATACATATATACACACACATATATATATATATAATATATATATATATATATATATATACATATATATATATGTATATATATATATATATATATATATATATATATATATATTAGGGTAGGCCAAAAACAAAAAATTTTTTAAATTTCACATATCTGTAAAAAAATAAAATCCTTTTGACATATAAAAACTAACTGTTAAAAAAAAATTGGAAAAAAACATTATTAAATGCTACCAAATTTTATTTGATTATTGTGATTTTTAGCCTAAAATATGTCAAAAGTATATATTTGTATAAAATTAAAAACATTTAGCATTTTTATATCTATAGCATATAATTGTCATTAGAGGCTGTTTAAATAATAAGCAACACGTTTTTGAACTTTTTGACTTTCCCCATGTAACATTTTGTGACATGTTTATCAACTCTCCCCCTCTCCCCTCATCTTGTATGTGCCTTGCTATTATTTTTAAATAGAATATATCTCCCAGTTTGTTTGTTTTTTTGCTAAAATTTTACTATTTCCTCTATAATAAGAATTGATATTAAAAGTTTTTTTGTCATGTCACACTGTAGCTAACCACTCTCCCCATGTAATATTTGTTAAAAATTTCAAAACCCTTCCCCATAAGAGTGTCATGCATTATTTAAATAGTCCCCATATAGTTTTTTTCCAAATAAAATAAGTGTTATGTAATCAAGGCATTATATCATTTAAAAAGGGTTTATAAAAGCAGGTATTACTTGCATTGTGGTAAATCAGTAAACAATTGCTTTTAATTAGATTTTTTTGTGTGATTTTCAACCACTTTAAAAACTTTGTTTTGCAAAGCCTTGCCTTGAAGATAAAAAATGTTGTTATAATCTGTTATATACGTTTATTTTTAACTGATATACTAGTGTGTCTTTCATTAGTATTTGAAGGTAGTCAGATAAAAATATGATTTTTAGCCACAATTTTAGTTGCAATGTTTTTGTTTTTTAAGAAAGATTTTTAATATCAAGGGACCTCTGAAATGAAAATTTTAAAAAAAATTTTCATTTCAGGTGCCCCTAAGACCGTATTGACTGTTATAAGATAAGACCATGGTAAAGCTAATAAGATTAGACCTAGCTAAGATAGTTAGGCTTTACAGTCTTATCAGAGAGCAACGGGGAAGAGCATTTAACAAGAATTTCATGCCTCCTTCATATTTGGTGTCACAAAACTTGCTCAAAATTGGGTTTGAACCATGGAACCCTTGCATCTAAGGCAAGCATACTGCGCCTTGGCTGTTCGAATTTAATAGTTTTAAAATCTATAAAGTATCAGTTGTTGTCTTTTTTTGAAATAATATTTTCCAAATCAACTTACTCTAAAATATGATGATGGCATCCGAATCCAAAAAGATTTTTCATTAATTTTCATTGCAAGCATTTGTATAGATTGAATTGTTTAAAATACAATTTTCTACATCTGGTTGTCAGGGGCTCCCAGAGCCTTCATGCTGCTTGGGACAGGCAAATCCGATTGGAGCCCATATTTTTTAAAGTTCTTTTATATCATCATTGAAGGACCTTTATTTTAAGTTCCTCTATTTTCTTTGGTGCCTTTTAGACATCTGCCATTCGGGATAAACTGTCCATTTTGCTGCCCCTGCCATGTTCATGCCTAACAAAATGAGTACCACTTTTAAACAATAGTAAAACTATTGTTTTTTTAATTGTAATGCCAAAAAAAAAAATCAAATCTCACCACCACCAAAAATTTGTGGAATTGTCACTGTAAACATTATTTAGTAGAAACATTTGTATTCCTGTTCTTTTGAGTGAACAAAATATAAAATTAAAGTGAGCTTTTTAAAAAAATTGAACTCAAAAAATTAAAAAAAAAAAACAGCCTCTATTTCCACATCCAATCTATTGACCATTTCCCTTCTCCCACAATTTTTACAAATTTGAACACCCCATAGGTGAGACATAATTTCAGAGTATTTATACTCTTTTTGAAGTATTCTTTTATATTCTCTTATGTATTTTTTAATCACTAAATATACTATTTTTTAGGAATTTTTCATGTATTAAATATTGTAATTTATACTATTTCATGTATTATATTGTAAATTATATTAATAAGTTATTATTAGCAATGCATTTTCAAACGTTTTTAATGTGTTTGCATAAACAGAAAATAAATATATTTAAAACAGATTTCATAAAATTCGTTTTATCTACTCTCCCTAATTGTTTAAAATCTCCCTGTTTTTAATTAAGTAGGTAAGAGTAGGTTAACAAATAAGGTTTGTTAAAAAGTAAACATATGATAAGAATAATATTAGTCTTACTTAGCATTTTAAGCACATCATTCAAATTCTAATTTCATTAGAAATTCATTGGATTGCAAAATAAATTTGTTTATGTATGGTAAAGTTTCCTATACATTATTTAAATTATTGTCTTGATATATTCTTACTAGATCTCAAGTTATAAATTTTTGTTTTTATTTTAATCTTGGAGTATTTATGTTAAATAAATATTTTAAAAAAGAAGACATTTAGATTAAAATACAAGAATAATATAAATAGATATAAAAAATAAATATAAGCTTAGACAATTAAAAGCATAGTATGCTGGTATTGTTTACATTATTATATGCTTTACACGTTTTTTTGCATTTTACATTTGTTTACATAAAAAAACAATGGAAATATGCCATTATTAGTAAGTATTATACCAAACATATTAAAAAATGGAACAGATGTTTTGGAAGTTTTGTGTTTCGGATTTATTCAAATTACTCAAGCTAAAAATAAAATTCGACAGAACTTAGAGATAAGCTACACAAACACTTTTGTAACAAAAAATGATTTTTATATTAAAAGGAACAACATTTTATGCAGCCACTAGTAAAATTGATTGTTTTTAAAAATTGGGACAGTAGCCTATCCTAATATATATATATATATATATATATATAT